TCCCCATTTTCACACAGACAACATGAATTTGAAGCAAAATTATCTCCCCTTGTATATGAAAGTGTCTCAATTTTGTTTTTTCAAATAATTTGATCAGGAATTCAGATGACATTATGGATGTATTATAAACCTGCTCAGGTTTTAATGTTTCGTAGAAAAAAACATGGTACATAAAACTTAATATAAACATGTCAGCCCAATACAGACACACACATATCCATATGTAGATGGACAAATACAACACAGTTACATCTAAAATGTTTTTAAAGGACATTATTAATCAGTGATGATGATGATAAATGATGGTGTTGATTTCTCCAGTCATGCCCAGAATTGTAATGGGGAATGAATATAACGAATCAACAAGTGTTAATAATGTGTCCACATTGACTCAATCCAACATCAGTTATCTCACCTTTCATACTGATGTGATGTGCTTACATGTAGGGGTTTGTTGACCCTGACTGGTATGTACTGTGGATTGGTACTCACAGCATGCAGTATACTATACATGCAAACAGTCATAAATGTAGATAAAATCACACTTACCTCCCTTTCTAATGTCCGAGTGCAGATGAGTCAGTCCTTTGGCAATTGTGAGGCACATTTTACAGAAAGTAGCCCAATCTACTGTATTGGTTTTTAGATATCCTTGGAGTGCACCAAGTGGAATATAGGACAGTATCAACATATACTGCGTCGTTCCGTCAACCACCTGTTCATCACCTCCATAAAATTTTAATAAATTCTCATGTTCAAAAAATGGTAAAGTGTAAATGGATTTCTCACTTAAGTATATCTGTTTGTGATTTGAAGAATATATTTTCACACCAACAGGGGTTTCCCCCATAAAACCACTCCACACGTCTCCATAGCGACCATGACAAATTTGGTTGCAGAGTTTCAAGGTTGAGAGATCAAGGCCTGAGGGTTGTGGAGCTTCCACCTCCGTCAACAAATCAGAAGGAGGCTTGCGTGTGCCAGGAAACAGTTTGTAGAGCAAGAATAGTCCGATAGTGATGAGCGCAACGGAACACACAGAAACCATTGATATGATAATCGTCTTCTGTCTGTACAGCTGATATGTTTCCGAGTCAAGCAAATGAGCAGCTACAACAAGGATTAAAGGCAGAGTAATTTCATAATGAAATAGAACTATTGGGCCTTTTCGTCATAGTAAAAAGTTGGGATCAGACCAGAATGAAATGAACCAGTCACTTTTGTCAATAATCAATTTACTTGGGTATTTTTGGAATTGATCTTTTTAATTTTCTGATAGAGCTAATTTTGTGTCATGAACTTCACAAGATAATCAAAGAAATTCAAAGAAAACTGACATGATCAATCATGTTCATATATAATTTAGTACAAAATGAGAATGTTAATGAAATGTTTAGGAAAAATAAAAATCTCAAAATCAAATCCAATAATTATCGGTGTTGGGCTGAACTAGATGAGAAATTCAAATCAAACTTAAAGAGAGATTGGAGGTCAATTATCTTCAAAACATCTTACATGGTAACATGGGGTCTGGTGTTGTGTGTAAATTCGGATCATAAATGTCTGTAAAATTTGTGTTACACATGTCTCCACGACAACAGCAGAATTTGTAATCTTTTTTATCCAAGATTTTGATAGGTTGATTTGAGAAACACTCTTCCATTTCACAAGATGTTCGCCAACAACCTTGAATAAAAAACAGACATCATTATGAAAATGGGACAAAAACCCTGTAGTGTGAAGTTGTTGAAAAGCTGGCTAACTTAACTCTGCAAGCTTGACCAAAGCAATACTTTGTAGACATAATAGTTTTTCATTAACTAGTTATTCAATAATTCAAATACATTTGTTACATTTTGTTTCCATGGTCTTTCATTTGCTTATTTACGTTGATTCTTCACAAAAAATTGTATTTATGGATAAGGTGATATTTTATAAAGGACATTAAAATATTGAATGGTTTATTTCCCAATAAGAACATGATATTTACCTGTATTGCGGTGATAAGTACCACTCTTACCTTGTCTGTTGATAATGGCCTCCGTCTCGTTTGTAGCTCCAAACCAAAGTGTATAGCAGGAATCCTTCTTGGAGCAGCGTACTGTCTTTCCATCCTGCAAGACCAGTTCATCTGTAAAGGTGTTTGAGGGGAAGTCATTGATTGTCAACGAGCTATTCTTTGATGCCGCCGTCCGTTGGTTAGTGTCGACATCATAATAAGCACAATAGGTGTACTCCTCCGTGTCCACTGCACAGTAAGAAAGATCATGTGACGTCATGTATATCATCATTCTAATCCAAGTATTTTTACAGACATTCCTATTGACTTCCATAAACATTCTACCATCTTGTGACGATCCTTTCCCATTAATACAGTGACTTGATATGAGCTGCATAGTTATCTCCCCTTTACCTCTAAATTCCTCATAAGAAGGGGGGATAATTCTCAAGATCAAAGTATTGAATTTCAGTAAATCCAAACACTCGTCATCTTGAAGATCAGTTTGTCACAACAAATTTATTCGGTTTTTGAGTATCCAACTTTCTGTAACTTTTGACAAACTGTGACAGCTATCCATAACATTGAGCTTGACCATACCAAAAGTATAAACAGCAAAGACAAACAGAAAATTACCTAAAGAAATAATACAACTATATAGGGTGTGATAGATAAAGCAGAGTTAACAGGGAGAAACTTCTTTTAACCATGTTATATAAGAAATTTACAAAAAGACATAGATATACCTATGAGGTTCAAGATAATTATGTAACATCTTTCTGTCCCCGAACTTGTTCTCTTTCCAGAAAGTCCTAATAAAAGTCTGAGTGTGTTTTGTTATTAATTAATCATCACATCTGATCAGAAACTTGACCTGGAAAGCTTCCTTGTACACTGAAAGTCCTGGCTCATTCATGTCATGAATAAGTAAACTGTACTTTGGACTAAAATACATTAACTACACTTACAAAGAGGATGTGTCACATTTAACATCATATACCAGATTTCCTCTAATACATTATAAACCTGTCTAAAACAGGTTTATCATTGTTTCTGAAAATCCTCAAACCAGACATTTTCCCATACAAATTAGGGAACGGTTGCACTCCAGTATTAAAGAATTCTCTTTTGTAACATATAGGGAACATGCAGAATCATTAAAATTTGTCTAAAACTCAGTTCTTTCTGTACTAAATTATTCATCATAGGGGTTGATATATATCAAACACTATTTGTTTTTTGTTTGTACAGGTTACATAATAATCTATCTAAATGAAAATATTAAATTTACAAGTACACCTATCTTTACCTGACTTTTTACCTACTGACTTTAATGACCTTGACCTTTGACAGGTTGACATTGAAAACATATTTGTATGCAAAATACCATGAATTTTACAAGGCTGAAAGGATTAAAAGAATTGCAATTTAGTTTATGTGCTTAAACTTTATCACATTTCAGCTGCAACTTTTATCATATTTATTTAAAAGAATATGACAAACAAGCATGGGGTGGGGTGGGGTGGGGGGGTTTACATGATGAAGTTAAAATAAACAGTAAACATACAACAAAGCCAACATGAATATCCCCACTTATCCCTATATTTGTCTAACTTATCACACATGTCATGGTTGGTAAGCATATTGAGTTTATAAGGAAGTCAGGCAGAATTTTAAGGAATTACATGTCTGGAAAAGATTGTGTTCTATGGTTAGCAAGAGAAAATCAAAACACAATTCAACTCTTGCCAAAATGGACTTGCTTACGACCCTTTTCTATTATCACATTAGCTTAAGATCTTAGTACAACATTCGACTCAGCTTCCTTTTTGTGAGTGTAACTGTAGGTCCAGCAATCATTATACTTATTTTGTTAATACATTGTCATGAGCACCATCAAATGTAGGTCACTGTGACATACATTTACAACTTATCTGACTCCTTGGCCTGGTAAGATTTTTGTGTTAAGTCATATTTCCATCAATATCCTTATTTATTTCTGCTGTTGTAAAAAGCTGAATGCTAGAAACAGAAAATTCAACTGAATATTTTCTCGTTTCGTAAATTGACAAATACAAAGCAACAATAGTGTGCTAATTCATTCCAGAATCAGATGAAACAGGAAGAAAGAAACTCATCTTGACTTATCACCTGAAAAGTGTTTTTTAGTGATCCTTAGAAGCTCACAATATATATGGTGTGTAGAATGTTCGTATTGGTTTTTTGGAGCTTAATAAAAGTCTGCAAACAGTTGATATGGTTTGTTAGAAGTCAATATCGTAAAAATTTCTAATCTAACATCAAGAAAATACAAAAACACATCAACTCCATGAAAGTGATATTCACCAGGTGTAAGGATCAATGGGGTTTCAGTGATAGGAAATTCAAGATTAGATGGTTTTAAAAGACTAGCCAAAACAAATGGGTTTAGACAGAAATATTAATTTTCTGAAATGATATAACAAGTAACTGAATCACAAACTAGCAAATGACCTTTCTGAAATGTCTGGCTTGTCAGCCACATCAATAACCAATAACACTCAAAAGTGTGTCTGTGGCCTTTATGTCACCAACTGGAACAAAAAATCTTCCTTTCCTCAACAATTCTAAAAGATGCATAAAGTGCCGGCTCCAAGTTCCTTTGGGTATTGACTTTTACAGTAGTAAAATACAAAGAAATAGTGAGAGAACATTCTACAAGCTTCTTCATATATTATATCAGAAAAAATATACTGTACTCAAATCCTATTAGTCTGTTCATGGCACCCCATCTAATATTACTACATTGTATTCATTTCAAGTGTTCAACACCAGTGCTTTTTTATCTGGTCCTCATTTAGTGTATGGTTCCTTAAACCTCACTTGGCTCTTCTATTTTAAGATAATTTTGCAGACTTTGCATTTCTCGGACACAAATCAAACATTTCATTGCAAAGCCTGAACACATGAAATGTCACATTTCTAAATTCTGTCTGTATCATGTATCTGTTCTACATTTGCTACAAACTAGAACCTAATTTCAAACAATTCCTTTGATCTGAAATAAAACAGAATCTATCAGGTTAGCTTGGTTTATTACACTATAAATTTATATTCTCTTTTGACATTGTAGTTTTTTCCATTTTTAATTTCTTTCTATCAATGAAAAAAATATCCCCAAAGTGTGATTTTTTCTAAACAGACTTGTAGTAATATTTACCCCACCATTTTGATAAAGGGCCTTTCCATTCACAGAGTGCCTTTTGATCCCCCCACCACACCCTCTCCCTTTACATTCTGGGAATGAAATCATGTCACTTAAAATTTCAGCAGGTCATTGTCCATGGAACCTTTCTAAGATGTCAGGAACAAAGATAGTTCAGAAAAAGCCACTATCTCTAGTCTATAGATAATGAGATGTTCGTCTATCTGTGGCAATTTTTTAACACTTGTTTTAAGGATACAACCTCTCTATTTTGGAGTAGGAGGTTGTGTTAGATAAATACATCAAGGTCATAAGGTCACAGTTTACCTGGTGAGGCTGTTTTTTCCTTTATGGATGGTTTCTGAGCTTGATCACCTGAGAAAGAAAGAGAGTTACACAAATTCTTTACTTTACCTGTGTTGCGCTTTCAGTAGAACAGAATTACACATTACAGAACATTAACAGTTAAACAATAATGTGTTCATCCCACTCTTCAAAGCAAAAAGTTGCTACCCAAAAACATAAGGAAAAAGAATCTACTCAATAGCAACAAAAGATCCACAGTGTTTTTTCTGCTTTATTATTTTTGCTAAGAATTTGTATAATATTCCAGATAACTTTTTTCCATTTGGGAAATTTACATACCAGACCATATCTTTGGTAATCGGAGTAATCTCCCTTCATTTTGTGTCTAAGTCTTCCTCATTCTATAGATTTGAGGATGACTTTCCTCCACCAATTTAGCACCATTCAAAGTAATGGGTGTGGAGGAATTCAACGAGTATTGGTTTGTTGGATAATGGCCTTCATTATTGGTTGTGGTTAAAATTCTTCAATGCCAAATTATGATAACTATTTTACAAGGTAATTTCCCAACTGAATTACAAAGTACAACTAAGGGCCTGGCCCCAGTTTCACAAATCTTCCTTAAAATTGCCAATAGGATGGTAGTTAAGATTTCCTTCAGTTAAGAAAGATTTGTTGTGAATCTGGGGCCTGAACTACAATCCTGTGAGAAAGCCTATTGTCATTATTAATTTACAATCAATTACAGTAGTAATTATTTATCTTTACTTTAACTGGGTAGGTCATCAAGTTCCCACACCAAATAATAAAATCTGTTTCCCCTGATTACACTTAACGCTGGCTTTGACAGAATAACTATAGAAATAGTATACTTACTTAACATTTGATTTTCACGCTTTCCAATTTCAAACTGTGCTTCACTGAAATAGTTGTTGCAGGTATGTCCATGACAACAGCAGATCTTGAAGTCGGTGATTGTATCTAGCTTACTGGCACAGTACCGGTTGTGGAGACAGGACTGGGACATTTTCTGACCACTCATGCAGCCTGAAACATAAACCAAACATTGATTACTGTTTCATAGTTAGGACATATGTATTGTTATTACCTGCAAATCTTTTCTGAATGTTGGTAAGTTTTCAAGATAAATTTAATGTGAGTTTTGAAGACCATCAGCAAGTACATTCTAACTCTTTGTGAACCATCAGTCTATTGGGCCCACCACCCCTCCCTTCCCTGGGGGCCAAGACCTAATGTTCATACAAGATTGATTCCCCTTTACCAAAGTATAATTTTTAAGAACTTCCTTTATTTCCCCTATTGGGCCCCATCACTCAGGCCCCTTGGGACCTAGTTCCAATATTCATACAAACTTAGTTCCCTCACCCAAAGTATGCTTCTTACCAAATCTAGTTAAAATCTGTTCAGTCCTTAACAACTATTAGCAATTTTTAATGAAAGGTTGATGAATGTCGCATGGACAATGTATGTCACGCCATGACATAAGCCCACCAGTCCTTCAGACCAGGTGAACTAAAAACTAGCTTTTCCACATTGGAGTTTGAACTTTAATAAAGAGATATATCACAGAGAAAAAACAAACGACATAAACTGTAGGGACATGGATGCCAAATGACTGTCATTGATATGTACGTACATTTCATTTAGAATAGGATACTGTGGTATATTTATACAAGATTTTTAATGATTTTCTTTCTATCGATACATCTACCAACTAGTACCACTCACAGGACGTTGGTTCTACCTATACATCTACCAACTAGTACCACTCACAGGACGTTGGTTCTACCTATACATCTACCGACTAGTACCACTCACAGGACGTTGGTTCTACCTATACATCTACCGACTAGTACCACTCACAGGATGTTGGTTCTACCTATACATCTACCGACTAGTACCACTCACAGGATGTTGGTTCTACCTATACATCTACCGACTAGTACCACTCACAGGACGTTGGTTCTACCGATACATCTACCGACTAGTACCACTCACAGGACATTGGTTCTACCGATACATCTACCAACTAGTACCACTCACGGGACATTGGTTCTACCGATACATCTACCAACTAGTACCACTCACGGGACGTTGGTTCTACCGATACATCTACCAACTAGTACCACTCACGGGACATTGGTTCTACCGATACATCTACCAACTAGTACCACTCACGGGACGTTGGTTCTACTGATACATCTACCAACTAGTACCACTCACGGGACGTTGGTTCTACTGATACATCTACCAACTAGTACCACTCACAGGACCTTGGATTCCTCCACCTCTTTTTATTTTCCCTAGATTTTTATATGTTTGCTTGCTGGGTCTATTGCCCCTTGAACAGCCAGAATGATAAAGAGGCTACATTGTAGTGGTTACCTCACTGAACAACATACAGGAGGTCCATCACACACCATCAAGAGTAATAAGGGTAAAGTGCCTTGACCAAGGACACATTTATCACATCAATAAAGACCAGTCTAGAAACATTTACTATACAGGCAGCATGCATCCATGCACCTTCTATCTTTACCTGAGGCCAGCCATGGTGCTCCTTGTTGTAAATATCAATATCAAAGTGTGCAATGTCTCAATAGTTTACAAATTATTCTCATATAATTAAAATATTTCAAAAACATTTTCCCCCAATTTTTCCACATCTAGGGATCAGGTGAAGTTAGAAATACTGGATATATATATATATCTTGATACACTGCCATATTTGTTTTCTTCTATGATCAGCAGCTCTTTGTGGAGATCTTCTTGATTGACAAGGTGAGGTAATTCAAGTTTAATGATTAGATGAGACGGATATTAAGGAGAGTATTCAATATGTCAAAAACAAAAACCTATAAAAATAGTCACAACCCTTAAAAACCCTGCTGGATGTTGCATAAAATGAGGAAGAGGGAGAGGAGAGCATCATTCAATCACAAAAATATCAAACGTTAAGAGAAATGACCTCCAGAGAGAAATGACCTCCAGAGAGAAATACCTACAGGATATAGGTTGCAGACAAGCCCAGAATTTTAGCCATTAATGTCTCGGAATTATCATGATGAATCTTGACCCTCTTTACCCAGGGCAGAAATCTGATGTTTTTGGTTGCCATGGTTATGAGTATTTACCAGACTTGGTTGACAAGCTAAATGACATTTTGGAGAGGTTGAATCTCTTTGGGGACACTTTCAGGCATAATACATCTATAAATATTATACCAAGATCATAAATTCTCTCTGCTATTACCCAGACTTTTGATGACACAGCTGAACACTGTATCTATCTAACAGGAAATTAAAGATCGACGACCTCTTCACAAACATAAATAAAGCTAGGACTATTGATATAGATATGGCGTATAATGCTAGATTTTAGACATCACCGTGAAGGTTCCAACTTGAATATGTCTTTATAACAAACTCAAGCTTGCAACTTGTTTAGTAGGGCTGATGTAGGATAACCATCTGAAAGTAATGGGTTTTTTTTTGTTTTCATTTTATATTCTTGAAACTTGGTTGATATTTGTACCATATTAGGAATATGTTTATAAGCTGTAGCAAATGACTGGTAGTTGGCTTATAAAGGTATGTGTAGGGATATATAATTCACCGATTACCTTGTTTATGGTAAGTAGAACTGACTCCATGCAGTTTATACTGTTGTCAATGAGATAAACCCTTAAAACCATAATGACAATGCAACATTTCTGTAAATTCTGGTTTGTTTTTGTTCCATATTTCAGAAACAATGAAAAGAATGGAGAAGTGTGGAGGCACACACATGGAAAAAATATGTTATACATCATATGAACAACACAATGAGAGGTACCTTGAGAGCATCATAAACATGTTGTACCAAAATATCACAGCTGTTGATCATCAACACTATAACATTTTTTAAATACAACCATAATTTCTAAAGAATGATTCATCTTAGTGTCCAAATATTGACTTTCTATAAACACTGCATTTATGAACAAAATTTAAAGCCAATTTAAGAACTGTTGATAGAAAAATCTTAACAATTCTAACAAGAGGGCCATGGACCTTAACAGCGACCTGAGGTCTTCAGGTCTTTGGACAGTTTTAGAACCTGTCCATCAATCACAGCATTTGGGCAGACAGAATAGAGCTCATACATGCATTCTTACACAGTTTTTATTGTTTCTTAATTTGAAGGCTTATTTTTCAATTAAATGGAATTGATAATACTCTCTATAGCTGTAGGTTAGCATATTTGACCCTCCATGACCATGAATGAAGGTCAAGGTCATTCATTTAAACATGCATGATAGCCCTTCATCCCAGCATGTTACTTGCCAAATATCATGACCCTGGGCCTTTAGTTTATTGTGAAGAAGTTGTTGAAATAATTTGACATATTTGATACCTCTGATCTCGAAAGTGGGTCAATATCAACAATATCACAGCCCTTCATGCCTGCATACAACAGGCCAATACCAGCACTCTGGGCCTTTAGGTTATTGAGAAGTTATTTAAAGATTTCAACACATTTGGCCCCTGTAACCTTGAAAGTGGGTCAAGGTCATTCTTTTTAACAACCTTGGTAGCCCTTTATAAACCTCTCATACTACAGGCCTAATATCAGCCTCTGGGTCTTTTGCATATTAAGAAGTTGAAAAATGCCAATTGTTTACAACACACGAGGGACAATGTCAAACAGAAGGCGATCACGATAGGTCGCTTCAGACTTCATCTCATAAAAAAAATCATAAAAACTTTTCTATATCACATCAAGATAATAAAATCAATGAGCTCAACAGGGGGGCTAATCCTCCTGAGGAGCTGTGTAGTTGCATCTTGATGAATAATAGGGTTTATCTGTTATCTAGGTTAAATATAATATCATTAAGTAAAATCTTGTATACATATATTATTTAACATGTTAACCACATCATTTTAATAGAAATGATTAACGAGCAATAGAGACATGGATTTCAAACCATCAGGAAAGACTTACTTTCTTATGAGAGAAATCATTACCCTTTACGAATTCAGGAATCTAAGTTTAATGATAGATAGCCATCTTTCTTGTTCAAGTGGAGATAATATGATTTCTAGGGTGATTTGTCCTTCATGGGAGTTAACTCTGTAGACAACATAGTTATAGCTAAATGGCTCAACTTAAATCTTTTGTGAAATTCAGATTGAATCAGACAGTATAATATATCATTTACAAGGAATAAGATCATTTATCCTATTGATCAACATCATTTTGAATAAAAATGAGATTTTTCATTCAAATTGAAATTGTCATACAACAGTCATCAAACTAAATGCACAGAATCTTTTCTTCTGAACAAACAATGATTTTTTTCTTCATGCTTTTTATAAAATTCAAAGTAATAAATTCTACACATCATAGCAAATTCAAAAGTTACCACCTATAAATGTCACACCCCACAGAAACATGTGATAAAAATTTCCAGCCAGATTGTACAAAGGCCAAGTAAACAGTACAACATGTGTGGTAGACTTAAGCCATATGTAATTCCTATTTTCATAGGACATTCCTGCCATCTTCATCGTGACAGAAGTAGGTAGAAATGGCAGATTTTAAAATTCTTTTGGCATTTAGTACAAGGAACCGTCAGATCTGTTAAAACATCAGATATACATATTGTGTCTCAGTCTGAAAATATACATGTCTTTTGGTATTTTTATTCAAAATTAACACATTCATTACAGCATAATATTTGAAATTTGCTTTTATTATGCTTTAAAAAGGCACAGAAAAAGGAGTTTAAAACTTGCCAAAACTGACCAATATTCAACACTAATAAAAACAAATCAAACCCACATATTAAAAACATTCTAATGTAAAAATCAAGTGAAAAGATGTTTATATAAACTTGGACTCATGTGATTATTTGTATTACTTTAAATCTGTTCAGGGGTTCAGGAGATGTCTTGTACACAAGCTTTTTATTTTCAAAGTGGTCAAGGGTGACCTTTGACCTTGACCAATGACCACTGAAATCTAGCCAGGTATAGATATTG